GGGGTTGATGTGATGTCGGGGTGCAGGGGGTGGATCGGGGGGATGTCGGGATGCAGGGGGTGACGTGATGTCGGGGTGCAGAGGATGGATCAGGGGGGTGTCGGGATGCAGGGGGGGTGACGTGATGTAGGAGGAACGGGGGGGACCTACCGGCGCCTCGGACATGAGCACGGGGTGCAGGCCGGGCTCCGACTTGACGTGTTTCCCGTACGTGTGATCCAGAATGGCCTGGAAACAGTCCCAGTCCTCGACTGGGGGGACAGCGGCGTGGGGGTGGGGGAATGACACAGGGGGGGGGGAGGGATGGGGGGGGGGGCTCGGTTAAGGTGGCACCATCCCGCTTCCCCCCAGCCCCCCTGCACCACGTGGGGTCGCCCGTGGGGGTGGGGAAGCCACTTGGGGGTGCCCCGGGCAGGGGGTACAGAAGCCTTGGAGGGGCATGGGGGGGACAGGGCAGGGTAAGGCGGGGGAGGAAGCGGGGAGCTGTGGTGGGGGGTTCTGTGGCGGGGGGGAGCGGGGGGGCCCATGGCAGGGGGGGTGGTGGGGTCCGGGGGGGGGGGGGGCCCATGGCAGGAGGAGCCCGTGGCGGGGCCCCAGGGGCCAAACCCTCACTCATGCCGTTCTTGAGGGGCGACAGGACCTCCGTGTTCTCCCGCGGGACGTGCAGCGAGTTGGTGTCGATGTAATAAACCTTCCCCGGCTTCTTCTCCTTCTCCCCGTCCAGCTCCAGCGCCGCCTCCTCGGGGGCCAGCAGCCCCACCGTGGTGGGGAAATCCGCCTGTAACGGGGGGTGGGGGGTGAGCCCCGGGGCCTGTCCCCTCCGGGGGGCACCGGCTCCCACCCGGCCCCAGGGCGGGGACTGGCCGGCTCAGGGGGGCGGGGAAGGGGGCAGGGGCCTGTCCCCTCTAGGGGGCGCCGGCTCCCACCCGGCCCCAGGGCAGGTTACGGGGGGTTCCAGGGACCCCAACGGGGAGGTTCTGGACGTACCTTGGGGCAGTCTTCTCCGGCGTAGCCGGCTCGGACTGAGAACGAGCCGATGTCAAAGACGAGCGCCCCCACCTCATCTGGGACAGAGAAAGAGAGAAACACTCAGCACCCACCACCGATGCGCCCACCTCTGGGGCGGGACGGCCGGTTCCCCGGGGACCCCTTGCCCGGCGCTGAGATGCAGCCACCTCTGGGGCGGGACAGCCGGTTCCCCGGGGACCCCTCGCCCGGCGCTGAGATGCAGCCACCTCTGGGGTGGGGCAGCTGGTTACCCAGAGACCCCTCGCCCGGCGCTGAGGTGCGCCCACCTCTGGGGCGGGGCGGCTGGTTACACAGGGACCCCTCGCCCGGCGCTGAGATGCAGCCACCTCTGGGGCGGGGCAGCTGGAAAGAGAATCCCAGCTCAAGCTGACAAGATCTGGCGCTGCGGGGAGGGGACGTGGCCCGGACGCCTGGGTTCACGCTCCGAGAACCGGGGCAGAGCGCCCCCTGCTGACCCCCCCCCCCCGCAGCAGGGCGCCCCCTGGGGGCTGCACTTCGCTGCTGTGTTGCCTGCCTGGACATGAAGGGGGGGGATATTAAAGGGGCCCCTTACCTCCTCCATAGACCCCCCCACTCATCCTGGCTCCGCTGCGCCCCCTGCCCCGAGCGGCTCCTGCGGGGGGAGGGTCCCGGGTGTAGGGGCGGCTGGGGGGGGAGGGGCGATTCAGCACCCAGGCGGCTGGACAGCCACCGAGGATGGGAGGGGGGATCTGGAGAGAGAGAGAGGGGTGGGGTGGGGAGCTTTCATCCCAGCCAATCAGAGGCTGCACCCCCCTCCCCAGGCAGCCCCTGATTGGTCAATCACCCAGACAATAAGTGACAATCTGGGGCTTCCTTAAAGGGGCAGGGAAGGACGGGGTGGGAGAGGGGGATTAGTGTCGGGGGAGGGAATTTTTTAGGGCGGGGGCCGGTGCTCAGGCAACAATCTCCCCCTTCCCATGGGTTCACCCTTCCCCTCCCAGAGCCGGGTGAGAACCCAGTAGTCCTGGCTCCCAGCCCCCCTGCTGTAACCCACCAGCCCCCAGTTCCCTCCCAGAGCTGGGGAGAGAACCCAGGAGTCCTGGCTCCCAGCCCCCCCTGCTCTAACCCACCAGCCCCCACTCCCCTCCCAGAGCCGGGGAGAGAACCCAGGAGTCCTGGCTCCCAGCCCCCCTGCTCTAACCACCAGCTCCCGCTCCCCTCTCGGAGCCGGGGAGACAACCCAGGCGTCCGGGCGGTGCTTACGGCACAGGCTGCTGTTCCTCCAGGCGATGGGGACCCCGGCCTGGGCGCAGCGGTCAGCGTAGGACTGCAGGGCGTAGCAGAGGGAGGTCGTCTCACCCCCGGTGCCGCACAGATCGTAGCGGCAGCTCTTGAAGGAATCCGCGGGGGGCACAGCCCCATGGCAGGGGGCAAAGGGGCCTGGGAAGGAGAGAGACAGACGGGGAATGAGCAAGGGAACAGCACCTCTCAGCCACCATGTCCCAGAGCCGGGGAGAGAACCCAGGAGTCCTGGCTCCCAGCCCCCCCTGGAGTCTCACCCTGGGGGTCAGTCAGGGCTCCACAGCTGGTCGGCTTCTGAGCTTCCAGGTTGATCTCTGGGTCACATACGCCCGGGTCCCCAGAGTTGGTGCAGCTGGGGCAGGAGAGGAAAGTCAGTGCCAGGCGAACACCCTCCTCCTCAGGGTCACCTCTCCACAGAGACACCCCCTCTGGGCTGCAGAGAGAACCCAGGAGTCCTGGTTCCCAGCCCCCCCTGCTCTAACCCACCAGGCCCTGCTCCCCTCCCAGAGCCAGGGAGAGAACCCAGGAGTCCTGCCCCCCCC